GCTTTAAAAAGTGTCATGTGAAGAAATTAAAAAAAAACCCTTCCATATTTCAAATTCAAGTACAATTCATACTGGTGTGAAATCAATTACCTTCTCCGCAAAAGAGTTATTTGCATATCTCCTTGAAAAAAAATTAGAAATTGTTTCGAAAAAGATGTTTTTCCTAAATGTTTCGCAAAAGGTGTTTTTCACAATTTATCCCAGCTCATAATGATTTGCTAAAAGAACCCGGAAAGTTTTAGCAATTTAGAATCCAGAATATTTCCGAACGACTGATGAACAATTGCATCAGCCAGCTTGTTCAAAAATATGTCTTCCTGTTCTTTGGGCAATTCGGTTTCCGCGCGAAACAAGGCACAAAAGCTGCAATTAAATCGCTCACGGAAGAAGTTAATTGAAAAGAGTCTAATACAGTTACATAGTGCACATTCATAGATTTGAAAAAGCATGTGATACGGTTGTTTTTCCACTTTAATTCGAAAACTATCTGACATGGGCTTCCGAGGACCTGCAAACAGGATTTTAAAATCCTACTTGTCAGTTTGTACGGAGTATATAGAAACTAGATGCCACAAATATTCACAAAGCAAGGCTCAATCTTAAAATCATTGCTTTTCATAGTATTTAAAAAAATTTGTTTGTCGGCGCGAAATACTAGCAAAACTAACAAACTTACAACTTTATGCGGACAAAACAGTCTTTAAAACAAATGAAAAAGCCTACAGCTTACAAAATTACATCAGGAAATCACGTATAAGACCAACAAATGGCTCTGCCAAAACCAACTCACCAAATGGCGACAACCTAAAACTATCAAATTTGAAAAAATTCAAAAAACTGGTAAACATTAAAGACTGTATTTTATTGAATAACAATATAACTGAAAAATTCAACACTTAATACTTGGGAGTTCATAGAGACACAAATTTGAAAATATACGAAAAATTGGATGCGCAAGTACTTGAAATCGCACAACTGGTTCAAATTTATAAAACTAACATTCATCAGGTTTACAAAACGGGTTGTTTCAAGAGCCAACACAGACAAAACAACAATCAGGCCACTTAAAGTTAACAGTGAAGCAATACTAAGAATAGTTTTTTTTGTAAAGAAGGATTAGGTTCGAAAAGAATTCTTCGAGTTATTTTGTTTAAACTTTCTAATAACTGAGTTGTTCTTAAACAAAATTCTGAAATAAATAAGGAAATCTTTTTGAAAGGAACGTGAAAGAAAGATTCTACAATCAACAATAAGTGATACTGTGATACTTATTCTTCAGTTGAAAAGCGCATCACGAAAATAATTTTGAACTTGAAGACACCAAAATCATTAGAGACCTCTTGACATAAAAATTAGGCAAATATTTAATCTAATTTTTCCAATTAGGCAAATTTTTGTCAAAACAACAAAAAAAATCAAAATAATTTTTTAAACTTCTTTCTTCTTTAAATTTGTATCTTGTTTATTAGCGCGATTCCAGATTTCTTTAAAAATCCAATGCGAAGGAATTATATAGTTGAATTGTTACTTTTTTCAAGAATGTTTTTCTTTCCAATTCTATAACTCGATCAGAAAACGTGGATTTTCGAGCAGCTGCATATCTTGCAATGCTAGCATGAAGCTAGAGTTTGTTTTTGTTTTGTTTGAGGCGCTTTGTTCAGTTCTAATAGCGTCGAAAGTGTTTATATTTTTTGTTTGCTTTTGTTTCATATAAAATAATATCAGATTTGATTGGAAACAATTTATAATGATATTATCATGGATACCGCCATTTCCATTGAAACTACTAAGATGAAGGCTGTAACTTTTCGACACCGAGACAACCCTTTTCACATTACGAGGCCAAACTGTGCACTAGATAGGCGCACAATTTTCTGTCGGTATTTTGTGTCTGGATTCCAGGGACAAGCCTTTAAACAAGGAAAAGTTCTGTCGGAACGGTCAAAGAAAATGAAAGAAGAAAAAAAGAACGAAAGGAGTGTCCTTGTTGCGGCTTAGAATTCACAAAATACACAATTTAATCTCGTAAAACGATTTTTTCGAATCCGAATTGCACCAATAGGGCTTAACGTGATAAAAACAAACACTTCACTCCTTATGATACCCTTGAAAACTACGCAGTAGACTATGAAACTCTTTGATGACTTTGAAAGTCCAAAGAAGTTTTTGTTTCTTTAAGCACCGAAAGGAACTAGTACTTGACGCAAAACTACAACATAAAAAATCAAATGATTATAGGATTTAGTTATCAATTTAATTTTTTAATAAAACCTTTTTCTGATCTATCCTAGAAGGTAAATTCCAGATTTGGGCACTAAGAGCCACATCACAGTTTTGTACTGAATACAACACAACAAATCTACAACACAAATGTATGAAAACCAAAAACAAGGGTACGCTTTTTTGAACCAATACCTTTCAAATAAGTATAATTCCAGTTTTGTATTCCAAGCAAAAAGAAATCAAATCTGTTTACAAACAAACAAGTGATAATAACGAAATATAAATTATGCTTAACTGATTATATGCTTTTTACTTTGAGTTTCATAGAAATTTTTCAGCTTCTTGAATTGCTGGAATCGCTTTGGAATTTTTTCTGTTTTGAACCCTGGGAGTCTCATGGGTTTCCAAAGAATGTCCATGAGAAGGGGATTAGAATGGCAACTGAAAATGCATTCCCACGGCAGCCCGGTCGCCGTTACTTCAAGAACATTTAATGGCTGGCCAATTTTTACAATTTCACAACCAAAAGCCTCTATAAATGGCAATTAACGAACTATAAAAATGCCAAACAACACTGAAAACTAAAACCGTATTGAAGACTACGAAGTGTTAATCACGGCCCTTGTTGAATAACCAATTGCCTGAATAGATCTGCTGCTGCTTGGATTACACTACTTTCATACATACGCATAATTGTTTATCTACATAAAATGAAAGAAACAGTTGGTGGTATGTGTGTAGGCATGTATGTGTGCGTGTGTCTATGACCGAACTTCTCCCAGGATAAAAATCGCACGAGCATGCAATTTTACGTGTAAAGACATTCGAATATGAGTAGCGCTATGGGATATTCAGTTTTTTTAGTAAGAATGACTTTCCCTATAGAAGGTCATAAAATAGTGTTACGTGACTTTGACCTAATTTTTGCAGTTTTCTTATTTAGTTGTTTAGAATTGTGCACGTGCACTTTTTTGCTTAACTTACGTTTTCAATAAGATCCTTCAAAACTAGCGAACCATGCAAATTGAACAATAAGCTCTTTTTTCTCAAGCAAGTAGTTGTTTTTGGGTTACATGACAAAAGATCCCTTACCTTAAGATCCCAAACGAGAAGATCCCAGTCAATAAGATACCATTCCAAAAGATCCCTCGTTCTAAAATTGCCCACGACATAAGATACCATAATAAAATTACAAAGAACCTGAGAATTGAAAATATAGCGGTTAATCGATCAAAGCAAAAACAAAGCGTCGGTTAAAATCAAAGAAACGGAAAAATTTTTGCTGCACAAATTTCAAACAAAAATGACCTTGCTAATCACTTGGCCTTCAAAATGAAACTAAAACTTCAAAACAGCTTAGACTACAATTGAACTTTAAAAGGATTTCCAATTAATCAAAGCCAACGTTGCAAAAAATGGCCTGATTTTTCACTGTGCATTATATTACTTCAGCCTCTATTTTCCTATAACCAGTATGTAGTTTTCAATTTTTTGCTTAACATACTAAAATGGGATATCCGTCTAACTTCAAATTAGCAGCTTTTTTTTTCAAGCTACTTTTCTTCGTTGACTGTTCAAAACAGAGCTCATTCCATCTTTTACTCTTTCAAACGTTTCACGCACTCTTCAGTTTTTTTGCTTAACCCATTGTTTATTATCGGAGTTAGTTTTTTTCTCAACAATCAAGCACATTAATTTTTTAAAATTAAATTTAGGACTAGGAATTTGCCTTAAAATTGAGATTTAATTGCTAATGCTAACTGGCATTTCCAATTAGAAAAATAACTGCAAATAGAAATTGAAAATAAGAAGTAAAAACTGAAAGCTAAAAAAATGAAATGCGAGTTTTATGTTTCTGAAACAGTTATGAAAATCACCGACAATTTTTCAAATAAATTTTACTGCCATTTTGCAAAATTTTTCTCGCAACCATGAGCGTTGGTAAATTTTGACTACAAAAAAGTTTTATCTTGGAGTGTTTTTGTCACAGAGAATCAGATTCAACAGTAAACGCCAAGTAAGACGCATTCGCACTACCAGTCAATTTGAAAAAAAATTACAATGCCTCAATTTATAAAGCGGACGCATTTTAATTGGCATACGAAAAAGTTGATTAAAAACATCCGACCCTGCCCAGGTTTGAACCCTCATTTTTTGTTGCGGTTTTCCTTCCCTACCTTTACGCTAAAAATGTATGATACCTTGCAGCTAAAGTGCTATTTGTAATATAATAGTCTGTGCTTATATCCTTAGCATTGGCTGTACTTAATAGCTGGTTATTGATCAAAATGAACACATTTTATCACAACAATATTTTATTTGCGACTTAGGTTGGAAAAAAAGAGAGTTCATACTATCACACAAGCTTTGCTTGTAATAACATGCATAGGTTCGCAAAAACAGCAATTAAGCATTTAACAACACGTTTGCTACCTCAAGTTGAATAATTTCAAGATTAATCATAGCGAGATTCAATTCACAAAAAGTTTTCTGTGCAAGCTCATCAAGTGATGAAGTTTATGGTCTTTGAAGGTTTTTCAGAAGGTAAATCGGTTCGTAAAAATTTAAATTTTCAAGCATTATTTGCACTTCGTTATTAGAGAGCATAGTAAATTGCTTTCCTTTTGCCAAATAAATTTGAACTTCAAAAACATTAAAAAATAAACCACAAAAAAAACAGCAAAGTTTGAATCACTAAGGTTTTTTCCTGAAAAACAAAAAATTCAACATGACCAATATACGATGTCAGGGACACTTAATGAACATCCACTTTGCGTAGATGCGAAATGATTCCCGTGGTGACCTTGTTTTTACAAACTTGTGAATCTGATTAGGTCATCGTAATGCATGCCGCAGAATTCAAAAACAGGTAAAACAATATTATATTTCTCATAGCCATAGTGCTCATTACACCTATGTAGTACTACGCAAGCGAGCAAATATTCTAGTTATGAACTGCACGATATCAATATTGAGTTTTCATTGACTGGAAAGCAGTGAGTTGCAATCATTATCTCATATTGCACATTTAATAATTTCTATTGCACATTTTAAATTAGGTTTGTTTTATTGCACATAAGTCTCAGATAAATTATTTGCGAATTTACTATTTTCGACAGTGCTTTTTTAAATTAAATTACAGCTTATCAAATATTTTACACGAGCATGATCTAATCTAATTTCAGCAAACTTCGAAGAATTTTTACAAACTATTAAATTTTAATGCAATAAAAAACGAAATGATAGATGATATCTCAGTCCTCATCATCCGAATCATCACTATCTTCACTGTCTACGGATGCATTAATTGAGTTTTGTAGAATTGCAGCATTCCACCAGCTCTGCACTTTGGCGCCCGATCCAGCACAAGTGTCTGCTTTCCATGAGTCAATGTAGACAAGTGAGGCGTTCGATTCACTTTCACTGCTCACGTTTTTCTTAAGACAGAGTCCTTTCTTGTACTTTTTCGAACCATCTGACGCAGTTAGGAACTGACCCTAAAATAACACTTGATAGTTCACTTTGACTTCCCAATAATTTTACGCTTTGAAATCGCACTGAAATTATATCATGAAAATCAACCCATTCAGAGAAAAGAACTACGTCAAAGAACTACGTCAATCGCCAATATTTAAGTATGTATAGAGAATGAAACTGTTTGTTGTTTTCTGATCAACTTTCTTGCTCGAAACCTAGCCACTACTTTTCTTGATCACTCGTTGAGTGAGAAGAAACAGTGGAATTACTTCTTAAGGGATTTTCATTACTCCAAAAAAGATAATATGTGATTTAGTGAGGCATCAATCTAAATACCTGCAAAACCTGTAGCCGTGTTAAAATCATAAGTATCTTAGAAAAGTATTCAAGGCTGCCTACCATCTTTTCCGTGGTTCCATCATCTGCAGCATTGTTGGAAGATCCACCGGCCCCTCCCCCAATTGAGCCCTGTTTGTGCACATTGGTCTCATTTGGGTTCCACTTCTGAATGACTTCCTCCTCTATTTGGTGCCTCAGTTGAGATATAAATGTCTCCCCTTTTGGAAACAAAGGAAACCTTTTTTTCGGAGGCAGGTAGCTCAGTCAACTCGAAAAAAAATAGCCAACAGACAGTTGGGAAGAATCAATGGGCGTAAGGAAACAAAACTATAAGTTCTCATTTTTGCCAGACAATTTAGGTTTTGTATTTGGGAAGCGCATCTTTTAGCAAATGAACTTGAATTGAACTCAAGAATTGCATATATACAAAAGTGCATTCGTAAATGCGTTGGCATGTATGAATGCACTTCTGCAGTTTTTCAATGCACTTCTGCGCATTTTCGGACTGTTTGCTGAAAAAAAAACAAGCGAAAAATCAGCAAGCCTTAGAATAAGAGTATTCTCTTAACAAGTCATCATTAGATAACTTAATCACATTACTTCAACACTTATTTTGGTTACAATACAAATTTTAGACACAGAGGCGAAGTTGCGCTTCGCAAACACTTGCGAGAAAACGACTGAAAAGCAGCTCTATCAAGTGACATGAGAAATAAAAAGTAGAAATAAGCCTCGAAGTTGCAAGAACTCGAGGCTTAGCAAAAACTCCAATTAGCAAAAAACTGCGATCTAGCAAACTTGAGTCTCACACACTAACCATTCAGCCACGGATGCTTAAAATCCCCAAAAACTAGCCGCCAATAAAGCAGCTACATATGCTAGTAAATTGCCAATTCGATGCAGCAAAAATAGCACAAAAACAAATTTTGCAAGTAATAATTTCGAATATAACAAGCTGAAGGCATCCACACAAATTTTACATGTAATAAATCGCAAATCATAAAACCACATTATGTACAAATTATGTATTTCAAAAAATTTCAGAGATATATTGAGTTGGAAAACTTCTGAAATCGAGATTTTATTACTGTTATGTTTGAAATAAATAGCTTTTTTCGGTTCACTCCATGAATTAAAAAAAGCATCAACTGTGTTAACTTATTCGAAAGTCAATGCACATGTTATCAAAATGCCTCAATTTATAGAGCAGTCTAGGGAGCAGTTATAAAATACAAAAATTAAATGTAATGAAAAAAAAATGATTTTTTTTTTAAATTTGGTATTTTTTGTGAAAATCATCCCCCCACACGCCATATTAAGTACAAAAGTGATAAATTTCGATACTAGTAACAGATCAATTATGGCTAATAAGCTTCCTTCAACCAATTTGGAACAATTTCTATGACGGATTAAATCTCCGCTTACGCGTAAATTGCGCGAAATATATCGCGCGTTAATTGTCCCAAATTTTGGCAATTTTAAACCCCAAAACTTTACGGAAAATGATCACAAGTAAAATATCTTTCCAAATTTAAGCTCAGGACAACAATACTTTCTGAATGATATAAAAAAATCCCGTCAACAATAGCTAGTTAAAAAGTCGAAATTTATCTGAAGACAAAAAAACCACCCAGAGCACAAATAATCCGTTACTTTAGTTACGAAAGTCGGAACAATAATAGTCTGTGTTAAAATCCTTAGCATGGGCTGTTCTTAAGAGCTGGTTATTGATCAAAATGAACACATTTAATCGCAACAGCACTTGCGTCGCAACAGGTCGCGACTTAGGTTGAAAAAAAAAAGATAATTCATACTATAACACAAGCATTGCTTGTGTAAATAAATGAACTTTTTTATTGAAAACTTTCATTTGCTAAGGCTAGGAAAAACAGAAGGTTCGTAATATTACACTAAGCTGATCGCAGTGTAAACATAACCTATATAAGTAAGTGTCTTCACTATGTTCATTAACACTAAAAAATATTATGAAACCAACCCAGTCCAATTTATTAGAACACCGCCACAAAAACGGTGCGATCCATACCCGACCCCTAATAAAATTTTCGATGTTCACCTGTGGTCTGTCGCCGGACGTTTCTGGCCTTGACTATTTTGTTGAACCAGTTGATGATGGTCTGCTTGGCCACCTCCTCCTCGATGCTGAACTCCAGCTCCTCCCGCTCCAGTAACTCCTCCAGTTGCAGAACCTTCACATCAACATAATACTCTGTGAAAATTAAGCAAAAAAAAAGCTGAAGCTCCAAAAATGTTCCAAATGTCTGCAATGGATTTTGCGTCCTTTTCTTTGTAATCTAATTCGAGATAAGAAAACAAAATTTGGACCATTGCAATATCCATTGCAAAAACTTCATCATAGTTATTATCGAACTACGAATTAGAATTAGGGATGAACGTTGTTGTACGCATAATGCAGATTTTGATTTCGAGCTTCAAATTTTGTTTGCGTGTGAAAAATAGAACATAGCTATAGAACTGACAGTTGGAAAAGAGTAATGAACGAGCAAGGAGCCTGAAAAAAAACTTTTAAATTTCTCAGAAAAAAAAACAAATGGACTTAAAGCTATTTGAATTTGTAGAACAATTTATGATGGACACTTTTTTTTTGTTAAATTAATCCAATTTGAGAAAAGGGTAAAACTTTTATTTCGATGAAAAATCTGATAATTAATTTCCATTTTCAAAATTAGAAGTCGATCAGGTTTTTCATGACCTTTACAATTTTACTGTTCGATAGTTGAGTTTGCCTTCCTTTTAACAATAGAAACGCAAGTCAAACCGCGAAAAATCAAAACTGAGTGTGAACAAACTTTAAGACTTTTTCTTGAAAAAAATTCAGCAAGACCTATATAAGAGTCTTCACTACGTTCATTACTTTTAATAACAAAGAAATGAGCACAAGTGCAATCAAACTCTCACAAATATCACCGATTCACAGCCAAGATGGCGAAGCAGACAAAAATTATGTTTTAATTTCTGAAGCTGTTTTTTAATTCAATCGAGACTTGCAGTATCGTATTTGCAACACTGTGTTCCACTATTACTTAAAGGACAGTCTTCAACTAAAGATGAAAAGTTAATCCAAGCTATGCTATATCAACTTTGACAAATACCCGGAAATTTAAATATTTTTCACATTTTGTCTTAACTAAGCCAATTCGCCGCAAATCTGCTTGAATTTAATTATTTTAAAGCATATAATATTTAAAATATGTTACGGTTGAAACCAAATTCTTGACAATATTGATCATTAACGCCTATTTCACGTTAATATTTTTGAAACAGTATTTTACACGCAGTAATCAATAAAAGAAAGTATCTTGACAAAATGAGCAGTTTTTGGGTTGATTAACTTCGTCCGGTTCGTTCACCAAAAAAAGCTACTACCAGCTACAATAATTTGGCATAAATATAGTTCAAGGCCGAGTATACTCTAACCTTTCTAATGTCGACTGATCTGTAAGCGAGCATTGAGAGTATTTCGTGGAAGGAGACCTCTGCCCCGTTGTGCGTCTTCTCCGCCTCACAACACATGTGTTTAAACAGCAGCTTGTCATTCACCATATCCACTTGCAGACGACCCTACAACCCCACAATGCACAATTATGACCAAGTGACAGTTGGACAAGTGTCGATCAACGAAAGTACTTCACGCTTCAAACTTCCAATTTCTCAAACTCCAAGCTTCATAGATCAAATTGGCAGAAAAAATCGTACGATTAAGTTCATTCATACATAAAACACACACCTCCATGTACGAAAACCATTTACTTGATAACTTAAAACCTAAATATGACTTTATGGCAACTACACAAAATAATACGAAAGGTGATTGAATTTCAAGAAGCTACCTTGATTACACAAAATTCTGATAACACTAATTTCATTTTCAAAATTTTCAAATATGTAAAATAGGACAGTCATTGAAAAAAAGCGACCTTAATTAAGCAAATGAACTTCATTTTGCTGATTGGCACTTGAAAATTCACTTTTACTTAATTTCATCTTATATCAATTTCCAATTAAGCGACTACGAACGGTGAGGTGTCTGAGAAGGAAGCGGACTTGTATTGTGGTGATGTATCCCTTCCTCTCCCGGTCTACTATCTTCCACTTCTCCTGGAACATCTTGATGTCGTTGTAGCTCAACAGCGCATCTGCGTCATTCGAGTAGAACAAAGAAAAGTTCTCCACGATGATAGCTGAAAGTCAGTTGTAAAACTCACTGTTGAAAATTACCCTTTACTGAACCACGAAAACCTCATGCATTGGATATTCAACAACCTTGCATGTGTAAAGAAACCAGATAGCAAACTGGTAATGAAAGTTATCAATCGGATAATAAATATTTTCAAAGCCGATAATTTTTATGTTGAAATAAATTCAAGAACTCGGAGCACAGTTTTAAAACACCAACTTTTTTATAACAGTTACGTTTTTTATCTAATTATAATGACGCAACCCCCCCCCCCCCCCTCCCAATAAATGAAAATATTGAACTAACCGACGAGCAAGTTCAGCACAATGTAAGCGAGAATGACATAGAAAGAACAGAAGAATATGATGGATGCAGTGAAGCTGCCACAGTCCGAGTCCCAGTAGTCGGGTGCCTCCGTGCACATGGGGGGACTGAGCATACAGTCGTGCATGATCTTGTTCCAGTCCTCCCCCGTCACTATCCGGAACAGAACTGTCATGGCGTGGCCAGCATTGTGGAAGTTGGCTCGCCTGAAAACAAACAAACTTGCGTGCGTACAGAATCACTGATCCAAAATTGCTATGAAATACTGGAAACATAGGAAACTTCGAACGCGTTGTACTCAGATTGGCTTATGACTAGACAAAAAGTGAACAGAACAAAACTTGCTCAGAATTTCACCAGAATTCCTATGATGCAAATTAATTCGCAAAATTCGGAACCAAACCTCAAAAATGGGTCATTTTGGCTTTTCTGAAGTAATCAAAAACAACCCTAAGACTACCGAGTTAATTGAGAAAAATAAATTAAATCAAAAGAAGCGGCTTAGACAGTCCAACAAATTTCTTGCAAGGTAAAATCTCCGAATTTTAGGGCAAAACGTGTAGATTTGTGTTTTATTGGCTATCTTATACAGATTTTTGGAAATTTTACTTTTCTTCAGCTTTGTTGGGCAGTGTGAGAGGCTTTTTTGGCATAAATTTTTTCATCAATTAAATCCCCAAATCTAAGGTTATTTTTGATAAACCAAGAAAAGCCAAAATGACCCATTTTTGAGGTAAAATTTTGGTTCCGAATTTCGCAATATAAATTGCATCATGATAACTCTGGTGAAATTCTAAGCAACTTTTGGTTTGTTAAATTTTTGTCTAATCACAAGCCAATTTGCGAAAAACGCGTTCAATATTTCCAATGTTGATCGTTTTGTCCGGATAATTTATATCAGCACTGTAGTTCTTAAATTGAGTAAAAATATACTAGAATAGCTTCATAGGCTGCTTTCCAATCAATTTATAAACGTGTATAAAACGTATATCCGCACAAATTGAAAATGAATTATACCTAAGTTATATGCAGCAATCATTTAAGGTTGTTGTTCCGACTTTCGTCACGAAAGTAACGGTATATTTGTTCTCTAGGTAGTTTTTTTTCTTCAGACAAAATTCGACTTTTTAACTAGCCATTTTGACGGAGTTTTTTTACATCCTTCGAAAAGTATTGCTGTCCTGAGCTAAAATTAGAGAAAAAAAATTACCTGCGAGTATTTTTCGTAAAGTAATGAGGGTTTAAAGAAAGCCATTTTTGCCAATTTGGGACAATTAACTCGTGATATTTTTCGCGCTAATAACGTGTCAGCGGAGATTTAATCCATCTTAGAAATTGATCTAAATTGTTTGAAGGAAGATGATTTGCCATAATTGATATGTTACAACGAGCGAAATTTATCAGTTTGTATTTTATATGGCGAGTGGGGGATGATTTCCACAAAAAAAATCATGTATTTTTTTAAATTTAACTTTTTCATGTTATTACTGCTCCATAGACTTTAAAAGACAGTCAGAACTTCGCCCTGATACGAGAAGTCTTGTTTAGCATTTAAACTCAAAATTTTTTTTGTTAGAACGCCACAGACTGAACTGACAACAACTCTTACTGGTGCACCTGCAAGACCCCGTGTAGCAACCAACCAACCCTTTAGCACTCAATGAAAAATAGCCGACAGACAGTGGAAAAAATTAAATAAACGCAAGTAAACAGAAAAAAAAACTGCCTTAATTTTTAGAAGTTTCAAAACTCAAACAAAAAAATAAATTGCCTCAAAGTATTTATTATTTACATTTTTTTGATAAAATTAGCCAAATTTCAGAAAACTAGATCAGTGAGTAATTTTTTCGTTGCACTGGAAGTCTGATACTTGAAGTCCACTTTCGATCACGTTTATTCATCAATATCGAAGGAAATAAACTGAATTTGAAAAAAACTCACAGGGCAAAAAAAAATTGAGCCTGAACAAAATTTCACTTTCCTGAAAAAAAAACCAAAAAAAATCATCAAAATATATGAAAGAGTCTTCACGATATTTACCGCCTCTTATAAAAACCGGTTCCGTCCTATTCAAATGGCCAATTACCGTTTTACGGCCAATTACCGTTGCATTTGAAATATACCTAATTTAAGTGCAGCGATCACTTTATGTTGTTGTTCCGACTTTCGTAACGAAAGTATTTTTGTGCTCGGGTGGTTTTTTTCTTTAGACAAAATTTGTCTTTTGAACTAACCATTTTGACGGAGTTTTTTACATCATTCGAAAGTTAATGTAGTCCTGAGCTAAAATTAGAAAAAAAATTTACCTGTGATCATTTTTCGTAAAGTTATGGGGGTTTAACGAAAGCCATTTTCGCCAATTTGGGACAATTAACTCGTGATATACTTCGCGCTATTAACGCGTCAGCGGAGCTTTAATCCGTCTTAGAAATTGTTCCTAATTGGTCGAAGGAAGATGATTTGCCATAACTGATATGTTACAACGAGTGCAATTCATCATTTTGTACTTTATATGGCGAATGGGGAGATGATGTCCACAAAAAAATCTCAAATTTAAAAAAAGTTATTTTTTTTATATTTATTTTTTTCATGTTATTACTGCTCCATAGACCTTAAAAGACAATCGGAACATTCAGAATTTCAACCTGGTACGAGAAGTCTTGTTTAGCATTTAAACTCAAAAAAGTTTTTGTTAGAACGCCACAGACTGAACTGACAACAACTCTTACTGGGGCACCTGCAAGACCCCGTGTAGCAACCAACCCTTTGGCACTCAATGAAAAATAGCCGACAGACAGTGAAAAAAATTAAATAAACGCAAGTAAACAGAAAAAAAACTGCCACGAAAAGCTCATGCATTGGATATTCAACAACCTTGCATGTGTAAAGAAACCAGATAGCAAATTGGTAATGAAAGTTTTCAATCGGATAATAAATATGTTCAAAGCCGATAATTTTTATATTGAAATAAATTCAAGAATTCGGAGCACAGTTTTTAAAACACCAACTTTTTTTTATAACAGTTACGTTTTTTATCTAATTATAATGACGCAACCCCCCCCCCCCCCCCCCAATAAATGAAAATATTGAACTAACCGACGAGCAAGTTCAGCACAAAGTAAGCGAGAATGACATAGAAAGAACAGAAGAATATGATGGATGCAGTGAAGCTGCCACAGTCCGAGTCCCAGTAGTCGGGTGCCTCCGTGCACATGGGGGGACTGAGCATACAGTCGTGCATCAGCTTGTTCCAGTCCTCCCCCGTCACTATCCGGAACAGAACTGTCATGGCGTGGCCAGCATTGTGGAAGTTGGCTCGCCTGAAAACAAACAAACTTGCGTGCGTACAGAATCACTGATCCAAAATTGCTATGAAATACTGGAAACATAGGAAACTTCGAACTCGTTGTTCTCAGATTGGCTTATGACTAGACAAAAAGTGAACAGAACAAAACTTGTTGTGGGGTGGTTTTTTTCACAAAACTCTCGAGGTGGTTTTTTTCTTCAGACAAAATTCGACTTTTTACATCATTCGAAAAGTATTGCTGTCTTGAGCTAAAATTAGAAAAAAGAATTTACCTGCGAGTATTTTTCGTAAAGTAATGGGGGTTTGAAGAAAGCCATTTTTGCCAATTTGGGACAATTAACTCGTGATATTTTTCGCGCTAATAACGTGTAAGCGGAGATTTAATCCGTCTTAGAAATTGTTTGAAGGAAGATGATTCGCCATAATTGATATGTTACAACGAGCGAAATTTATCAGTTTGTATGTTATATGGCGAGTGGGGGATGATTTCCACAAAAAAAATCATGTATTTTTTTATATTTAACTTTTCCATGTTATTACTGCTCCATAGACCTTAAAAGACAGTCAGAACATTCAGAACTTCGCCCTGATACGAGAAATCTTGTTTAGCATTTAAACTCAAAAAAAATTTTGTTAGAACGCCACAGACTGAACTGACAACAACTCTTACTGGTGCACCTGCAAGACCCCATGTAGCAACCAACCAACCCTTTGGAACTCAATGAAAAATAGCCGACAGACAGTGGAAAAATTTAAATAAACGCAAGTAAAAAGAAAAAAAACTGCCTTGTTTTTTAGAAGTTTCAAAATTCAAACAAAAAAATAAATTGCCTCAAAGTATTTATTATTTACATTCTTTTGATAAAATTAGCCAAATTTCAGAAAACTAGATCAGTGAGTAATTTTTTCGTTGCACTGGAAGTCTGATACTTGAAGTCCACTTTCGATCACGTTTATTCATCAATATTGAAGGAAAAACTGAATTTGAAAAAACTCACAGGGCAAAAAAAAATAGAGCCTGAACAAAATTTCACTTTCCTGAAAAAAAAACCAAAAAAAAATCAAAATATATGAAAGAGTCTTCACGATATTTACCGCCTCTTATAAAAACCGGTTCCATCCTATTCAAATGGCCAATTACCGTTTTACGGCCAATTACCGTTGCATTTGAAATATACCTAATTTAAGTGCAGCGATGACTTTATGTTGTTGTTCCGACTTTCGTAACGAAAGTATTTTTGTGCTCGGGTGGTTTTTTTCTTTAGACAAATTTTGTCTTTTGAACTAGCCATTTTGACGGAGTTTTTTTTGCATCATTCGAAAAGTAATGTTGTCCTGAGCTAAAATAAGAAAAGAATTTACCTGTGATCATTTTTCGTAAAGTTATGGGGGTTTAAAGAAAGCCATTTTTCCCAACTTGGGACAATTAACTCATGATATACTTCGCGCTATTAACGCGTCAGTGGAGCTTTAATCCGTCTTAGAAATTGTTCCTAATTGGTTGAAGGAAGATGATTTGCCATAACTGATATGTTACAACAAGTGCAATTCATCATTTTGTACTTTATATGGCGAGTGGGGGGATGATGTCCACAAAAAAATCTCAAATTTATAAAAAATCATGTTATTTTTTTATAATTAACTTTTTCATGTTATTACTGCTCCATAGACCTTAAATGACAGTCGGAACATTCAGAACTTCAACCTGGTACGAGCAGTCTTGTTTAGCGTTTACACTCAAAAAAAATTTTGCTACAACGCCACAGACTGAAAGGTTCCATCCTATTCAAATGGCCAATTACCGTTTTACGGCAAATTACCGTTGAAGTTGAAATATACCTAATTTAAGTGCAGCGATCACTTTATGTTGTTGTTCCGACTTTCGTAACGAAAGTTTATTTGTGCTCGGGTTTTTTTTTTCTTCAGACAAAATTTGTCTTTTGAACTAGCCATTTTGACGGAGTTTTTTTCATCATTCGAAAGATATTGTTGTCCTGGGCTAAAATTAGAAAAAAGAATTTACCTGGAATCATTTTTCGTTAAGTTTTGGGGGTTTGAAGAAAGTCATTTTTGCCAATTTGGGACAATTAACTCGTGATATACTTCGCGCTATAAACGCGTCAGCCGAGCTTTAATCCGTCTTAGAAATTGTTCTAAATTGTTTGAAGGAAAATGATTTGCCATAACTGATATGTTACGAGTGAAATTCATCATTTTGTACTTTATATGGCGAGTGGGGGGATGATGTCCACAAAAAAATCTCAAATTAAAAAAAAAACATGTTAATTTTTTATATTTATTTTTTTCATGTTATTACTGCTCCATAGACCTTAAAAGACAGTCGGAACATTCAGAACTTCAACCTGGTACGAGCAGTCTTGTTTAGCGTTTATACTCAAAATTTTTTTTGCTAGAACGCCACAGACTGAACTGACAACAACTCTTACTGGTGCACCTGAAAGACCCCGTGTAGCAACCAACCAACCTTTTGGCACTCAATGAAAAATTGCCGACAGTGGAAAATAGTATTTAAACGCAAGTAAACAGAAAAAAAAACTGCCTTGTTTTTCTAGAAGTTCGAAACTCCAAGAAAAAAATAGATTGCCTCAAAGCTCTTTAAATTTCTAGAATAATTTACGATTTACATTCTTTGATAAAACTAAACCAATTTAAGAAAACTGGATCAGTGAGTTATTTTTTCGTTGCGCTGGAAGTCTGATACTTTCGATGACGTTTATTCATCAATATCGAAAACTAGAAGTCGATCACGTTTTTCGTGGCCTTTAAGCTTTTGCTGTTAGATGATGGAGTTTAAAGAAAAAAATTCAAATTGCAAAAAAAAAATGAGCCTGAACAAATTTTCACTTTCCTGAGAAAAAAAACAAAAAATCATCAAAATCTATGTAAGAGTCTTCACTATTATTATCGCCTCTTATCGCCCGGTTCCATCCTATTCAAATGGCCAATTACCGTTTCCGTAGAATTGTATATTTCAATGTATAAATTAAGTCTTTCCTTGAATCGCATAATAAACTTCGTATAATTTGTCGTATATCGTATCAAGAGTACAAAACACTGTTTCCAATGTATTTTAAATTAACGGCAATTGTTGAGAATTGCTTCCAAGTGGAATGTAAAAGATGTTGAATATCTGTTTTACATGGAGCTTACGACAACAATATAAAATACCAATTTTTCAACAAAAAATGCTACAACATTAGATAGCTTGGATCTCTTTAACTATCCCCACCTTTGCAAAGATTCGCTACTAGGTAAAAAATTCATGTAAGTTTAACCGTTAAATCAGCCCTTTATATGGGGACTCGTTATTAAGATTCGTTACTAGGTATCATAAGGGGAAGTAGTTCATAAGGGGAGATCAGAAAGTGTTAACTGTAAATTCAATGCCCCCACCTGTGCAAATTCTCTCCATATTTGACAGTTCCGAACAGGATGACTCCCGAGAGAGCGTAGCAGAGGATGAGGACGAAGAGAGAGAGGATGATGAAGAAGCTCTTGTACACTGACACCAGCACAGTCAGCAGCAACATCTTCAGGGTCGCCTGCAAACATAACACCACACTCAATTCACTGCCCAGTTTAGTCAACACACTTCGTATTTGAGAGTCATATCCGATTTTATGTTACCAAAAAAAACTGAAAAAAAAAATAATTGTGGTTTCTGCGATTCGCAGAGGCTCTATGAAAGGCTGTCCAGCCTGTCTAAGCAAAGACCGTTTCTCTTATTTCCCCACTTTCCAGACAGTCATTTTGTTGAGCAAGATTATTTTGCGAGTCAAGCCCCGTTTCTTTGTGTCTAGAACTTTCAAGCGGTACTAATATTGCAGCCGTAATCAGTCAGGCTGCGGTAGACCTGAAGCTAGAGGTATTCCTCAAGCAAGTGAGAGCTCGTCCTCATACACTATCATTGCCATTAGTGATTTGACGAATAACGAAAATTTCGTATAACGTATAATCTAGCTATCGTATAAGAGTATAATTTAGCTTTCTTATAAAAACATATAATGCTATAATTCGAATTTCGTATCATTATTCAATAATCACAAAATTTTTCAAGGGTTTCTGACTGTAAACAATTTTACGATCAGAGCATCTCAAATTAGAAGGCTAAAATGATCTTTCAACTGCCTATGAACTCACTGGGACAACAATAACTTGAAAAATGACGTTATCTCCGGTGTTCTGTTTTCGCCAAAACGGAATTGAAACAATTTCAAACTGCTGAAAAATTGGAATGACTTTTGAAAGGGTCGGTTTACCTGCTTGAAGAGTATCAGTAGCTTCCTGAAAAAACTGTGGAATTTCGGCTTATTTCGTTAGTAGACAAAGTTCGATTCCTATAAAAGTAAGCTCCGTGTTTCCAATTTCCGTTAATGCATTGTTTATCGGGTCTCGTTTGTTTTAGGAAAAGCTTTTTCCAGTTAGTACTTAGAGTTTGTAGATTTGCTGTGCAATTTTGTGGCATTTTTCAAGTGCGCGTTGCAGTACTGCGTTATCTGATACATTTTTAGCACATCTGGAATAACGTTTTGGAGCAAATGGCACGTGCAACCATTCCAGCTTGACCCCAAGTTGAGGGTTTCCACAAGCAATGCGACATTGAAAGCTGCTTTCATGTTTGCGGCATTGTTAGCTATCACGGATCTTGTTAAGTATCCCCCCCCCCCCTATGGTACCTTGTAACGAAACTCCCCGCCTCCCTATAAAGAAAGAATTGAACAGTTAAGCATATACGAAATTGCTACCTTGTAACGAATCTCCCCCCTATTGCAATGGCGGGGGGGGGGGGGTTGTTAACAAGATCCGCTATCACCATAAAATCTGTTGAGCAGTACTTGTCTATTTCAGCCTTGTTGTTTATATTCACAGCCTAGCTGATAAATAGACGGTAATTTGAATAATTTGTTGTATTCTGCTCGCTTTGGCATGTTTTTATCCTTATCCGAAAAACTGAGAAGCCACAGATACGTTATGAGGATGATTAGGCTAAATAGTTCTGAATAGACAGCATCCAATAAAATAAGAAGGCTTGGCATCATACGCAGATTAAATTTGATATGAAATTCGCTTCTTTATACCTATAGCTACACCGTAAATCCTAATTTCAGCCGACCAGATTATCGCATTCGCATAATTAGTATAAAAAATACTGTATTATAATCATATACTGTATTGTAATCATATTCGTATCGGGGGTGGATCTAAGATTTTCTCGAGTAGGGAGGAAGAGGAGTTTCCGAGCGTTTCCAGAACACTATTAAGATTTTTGAAAAAACGGGTCAAAGCGAGCCGTCAAAAAGCCGTTTTGGCGCACGCTCCTACTGAAAATTAGTATATATTGGCGCCGAATTTGGTATCATTCATCCTATAAAAAAATATATCGTGTACAATACACTGATTGCCATTGCAGGGGATCGAATACAACACGATCTGACGCTCTCGAAGTGAACGACAGACCATTTTGCTAAGTGCCTGTATGTTATACCAGGTAATCATCGCAACATTGATCTTTAAAGGTTAATACTCGCTTAATGGAAAGGCTTTTGCTTTGAAAGCATTTTATGGTGTATTTTGTCATCTGCCATGATCTCACTTGATCTCCGGCTTAAATATCGAAATCGACAAGGTTGACGCTTTCAAAACGAAAAGCTTTACACTGCTGAGCGGCACGATTGCGCTATTTACGCTGTTTTAAGAGTCTAATAAGAGTCACAGGAGAAAATTATTGTAACACATGATCAGCTAATAAATAAGCGAAAAAAAATTAGGAAAATGAAAAAGATATATTTACATTTCACGTTCCTTGATAAGGGAAAATCGGAGAACAAAACATGACACGAAGTAGTAAAAATGAGCTATTAGACTTCGTTATACAACGAACATCAAAAAATTATTCTTCTGTACAGAGAGGCGAAGCTGCACTCTTCAAACACAAGCGAGAAAAAGACGAAAACTAGAGGTCAAAAAGTAAAAAAGGAGCGAAAAGGTGAAGAAGAAAACAAACAAGTTACACAGAGGCAAAACTGCGCTCTGCAAACACAAGCGAGAAAAATGGAAAAAAAGAGCTCTGAATAGGCAAAACTAAGTGAGATAAAGAAAAGATTAAAATCACACCTTGAAAAAAAATTTTGTTGCGATTAGAAGTATCACGTTCTCACGTCTGCATCATGACCGCTTGTACTTTCATATCATTACCCACCAGTAAAGCAGCTACAGTTTCCATCAAATAGTCAATGTTAAGCAGCAAAAAATTGACAAAAAAAATAAAACTCGCCACGATTGTTTGGAAGTAAACTAAAGGCCAGGCTAATGCTGGATCTACCTCCTCTAATAATTTTAATCATATATCGTAATGATACTGAAACGCGTAATTTCCCAAAAATGGACTTACGCTAAGCCCCTAAGCCCTTGTGTTTCTCTGATTAATTCGGGGAAAAACCGCTTATTTAGAGGAGAAAACGACTACTCGCGCTTTCAATTGGAATCTTTCAACCAGGTTTGGTCGGGTAGTTTTCGAAAAAGTCAAATAGGTTCCAACAATTGATTAAATCAAAAATTAACTTTTCATGCATCCATAAACTTTTCTCAAACTTTTCTCTACTAAAGCAAGGGAAAATGGCTTCCCACTCCCTGATTTCTAGAATGAAGATGTACGCACTCTGAATTTTAGATTGAATCCTTAATTTCAGCTTTAGCTGGTAATTCTCGAGAATAGTGACGAAATTACTTAAAAAGAGGTAAAAGTTTAATAAGGAATTTTTCCGAAGTCCATATCAGCTTTTCCACAGAAAAAAAACCCGGTAAAACAGATCACGCAAGGATTATCTAAGCACCATGTTAGTTTTAATGAACTATTAGCCTCAAAATCAGCAGGTTAGTTTTTGAAAAAACAATAACTTTCCAAAAAACTTAAAATTGGAACTTTTTAGGTCTTTTTTTTCAAAACGCAGGGCACAACCGCTTGCGCAGGTAATATGCGTATAACTGATTGTTTTTTGTGGTTAAACCCTTAATCTCCTATTTGTTATGAGATCAAAAATTTTCTTTTCTACCGATTTAAGGGAATAACCGCTTGAGATTCTCATAATTTGTTCTTTTGATTGAATCCATCACCTCAGATTTGTGCAGTTAATATCTGAGAAAATGAAAAAAATTACAACAAAGAGGCAAAAAATACTCCTACTGAGACTTTTGAAATAAGTAGAATGTGAATTAAAATGAACAGAGACAGCAAAATATGCAGGCACAGAAGAACAGCCGATTTTTCCCTTAGTGCCATTTTTTCTTTGAAAATCGGTACGGTAATTTCTGTGAAAAAGGCAAAATTTTTCCGCAGCATCGCACAAAAAAAACGAAAAACAACAAAGCATAAGAAATTCATACTACATATTTTTTCAAGCAGAACCTAACACTAGCCAAAAATAAAGCAGCAACATAAGCCATTATACTTTTTCTGCTTTATTAAGCTTAAACATGATTGAAATAAAACATAAAAAAGTGCCACTAAATAAGCACTCTTATTTGCGACTTGGGTTAGAAAAAAGTACTTCGTAATAATACACTATAAACTACGTTTCGCTTGTGTTAAAAGCAGTAAACGAACTCACGACCTGGATATTAAAATTCACACAAAACAGAATCTGCGCCATGGACACTTAACAATAGTTAACACAGAGACGAAGCTGCGGTTCGCAAACACTTGCGAGGACACAACAAAAAGCAGCTCTGGGTTTTCAAAAGTTCAATAAAAAATCATAATCTTCGAATTAGTAAAACGTTTCGGACTCGAACCTACAACCTACTGCGACCTAGAAATTATTAGTCTCACACACTAACCACTCAGCCACGGACGCTTATTCCATCTCAAACACTAGCCAAAAATAAAGCCCAGAACAGGTGCTATGAAAATTGCAAAGCTACAGATCGTGATTATAGCAAAAATGCATACAAGTGAACACTTTTATTCGAGAGTTAGGTTAGAAAAGGAGGTTCGTACTAAAAACCTAACTGCTCGCTAGCATAAGCACTAGGAGACCAGCTAAAGCTGGAGGTGCCGGTTTGGTAAAATTTTCTTGCCGGAATGGAATAATTCGTTTGAGCAGGGGATCTGTTCTTTCGATAGAAACCTGAACCTCAGATTTGTCAGGGTAGTTTTCGAGAAAAAAAATTCCAAAAAACAATCAAGTGTTAAAATGTGTGCGTTTCCAAAAGCCAGACTCTTGTTCTACCAAAATTAGGGCGTAGCACAACATTTTAATTGCACCCTTAAACTCAGATTTACTTTTTATTCTAGAAAAAAAAATAATACAAAAAATGCCCCCATTGGTCCAAAAATAACCCACTGAAAAATCGAAAGTAGTAGAACATCCGGTGAAGTAATATCTAGGCACTCAAGAGATTAACCGGTGTCTTCTCCATTGGTATCACATTTTTGATAAACTAACCCGATTTTGATTAACTAACCTTATTAACTAACCCGCAGAAATTAATCCGTTACCGAAAAACCAGAGTGCTACCAAATAATGAGCACCTTTATTTGCAA